GGTTTTAGTCAGTAAGAGTCTGATACTCTCCCGCTGCCCTTTAAAAAAAGTCAACATAGTTATGATATCCTTTATTTTGTGGAAGTGCAAAACGGAATTCATTTTGGTGCTCTTTGTCGGCCAAAACCGATAGCGATTATTTAATTTAGTAATTTACTGCCGATTGCAACAACCTATCTCAATTCAAAATCTGTAGATAAGGATCTATTTTTGACATCTGTAGATATAGAGTTTCTGTTTGATTGAGATAGGTAAATGAAATTGTTACTTAGATATTACGATACTTAAAACCAATATGCGATATTATAACTATGCACCTATATTGTTTTCACAAAATATTATATTATTAATTATTATGTTTTCGGCTTACTCAGGTAACTGTTTGACATACCTACATTATACAGTAGCAGCGCGACAGTCGCCGCGTCGCGGGTCGCGTAATGCTGCTCATGAATATGAGCCTCTAGCATGGCTTGAAATTAATCGAGTTCCTCATCTGACAGTTACGTGAGTAAGCCGAAAACATAATAATTATTTACTATGTCTCACGAAAGTTTTAATTTAAAAATATTACATGTTCATCAACATTAAAATTGATAAATCTTAATACTACTAATATTATAAATGTGAATGTCTGTTTGTATGTTTGTTACTTTTTTACGTCGGTTGAAGGGATCGGGATGAAATTTGGAACAAAGGTAGATTGTGGTCTGGTATAACACATACGATCTCATTAAGGTCGCAGGGAACCGCTGGATGCAGGTCGCTTCCAACCGGCCTATCTGGAAGTCATTGGGGGAGGCCTAATGTTCAGCAGTGGACGTCCTGTGGCTGATATGATGATGATGATGATGATGATAACACATACGCTACTTTGCATTCTACAGAAATGCGGGCGAAGCCGCTGGCAGAAGCTGGTAATACATATTTATACATATTTAAATGCTATAATAAAATTCCGGAGGAAATACAACACTTAAATGAGTCAAAATTTAAATTATATATTAAAAAAACGTTATGTAGAAAAGCATACTACAGCATACTACAAACTTAATGATTACATAGATGATAAAAATGCTTGGAGGCAGGCTGGTCCGGCTCCACAGGATAGCGAAAAACATTGATGTTCCAATTGACTGCACGGTTGGTGCGGTGGCTGGGCAACCGGCTGCCGTGCAACGTGTCGCGGGTTCGATTCCCGCACGGGACAACACTTTGTGTGATCCACAAATTGTGGTTTCGGGTCTAGGTGTCATTGTGTATGTGAACATGTATGTTTGTAAACGCACCCACGACACAGGAGAAAATCCTAGTGTGGGCAACGTGTTATAAAAAAAAAAACTTCCAATCATGTAAAAAAAACAAACAAATAAAAACAAAAAATACAGCCATTTTCTTATTAATTCAAATGTATACTGTAAAACTTTATATAATTATTGTAAACGTGAGAGCCCTGTAACTAACTAAATTAAATTAGACTAGTAGAATGCATGTGTGTCAGCTTGGAGTTGTCATGCTCACTCAAAGGTCTCATTGGCGGTGGCATGGGCCGTGGATCGCTCGATTCCCTACAACATGGTCGAGTTGGGCGGTGCTGGTGTACGTGTCATGTTCGTGAACGGGCGCTGTCAAATGGGACTGGTCAGCTCCAGACTGTATTAAATTTGTTGTCCTCAAGGTTATTTTCTTTTTCTGTCTCGTTGACCAAATATTGGTATTACATTGTTCTCACATTATTGAACTCAACGAAAGAATGTAACCAAAAATTGTATTGTGAACATGATTGAAAAAGAGTAACCTATGGAGTTTCTTGCTCGTTCTTCTCCATAGGAATCTACACTTTGGAACGAGCAAATAGCTTCACTAGAGAACTGACCTAGAGACTGACATTCTTTTCTTATTATTTAATATTTAAATATTTTATTGTGACGTTCAAAAGTGTCTTCCTGGTCTAATTAAAATAAATGATTTTGACTTTGACTATACGTAATTAAAGAAAAAAATCTTCTTTCCATTATAGTTTTCTTAATTATCTTTAATAAATAATATACCTGACACATAAGTTAGTACACTTTAAAATGCTAATTCTTTATTAATGATTAGGAATCAGTTTATGTATACACGTATAGATTACCTGTATTAGTCAATTTTACTTATCAATAGTAAAACAATAATTCGTATTTTTACAACATCACGTAGCATTGTTAAAATCGTACTTTAGTCTTGAATTTATTAAGCGCACGATGCAATTTAATTACAATGAGCACTATCGGACATTATTTGGGTTCATAATATATTAAATCAATGTAACCAAGAACCACGCCTTGTATACGTGGTTTTAATCATCGAAGAGATAAGCAGAAGTGAACATTTTTTAAGTAACATATTTTTTACCAACGATATTTCAAGATCCACGTAACAAGGGTGTGGTCATCAAGGCTGCCTCTGGTCGCCACTTCTCTTCCCAGTAGTTTTTTGAAGACTTTGCATAATAGATACATGACACCGAGGCAAGGGATAGAATGGGAATAATCCAACATTAAAAACTTCTTCGTTGGCCGAGTGGTCGCAAGTGCGACTGCCGGGCAAGGGGTCTCGGGTTCGATTCCCGGGTCAGGAAACGTATTACCGGGTTTTAAAAAAAAATCTCAGTAGTAGCACGGAGTCTGGAATTGTGCCCGGTATATGGCAATAGGCTCACCCCCTATTACATTAGACTCATAACATAAATAGTGAAAAGTGGCATAATGTATACCTCTGCCTACCCCTTCGGGAATAAAAGGCGTGACATTATGAAAACTTGAACTTTTTCTTTGATGCCATTGGGCCATCCTCGTGAAACCTGACATCATCGCACTGTGATAGACGGATCGGCATGGGTTGATATAATGTAAATCATGAAGCTTAAAACTACCTAATGGAGTTGGAGGATCTCAATGAGTACTCTCTAGAGTACATAAGAGTTTCAGTAAGTACCCCTCCTAGTACTTAACTAGGAGGTGTGCCTTTTGCTACAAACCAGGCACAAATCTAAACTACATACAAATAGTAGCCTATTTAGCTGTCCGATGAATGACATAGACTTAACAGTATTGTTTAACAATCACAATTGGGATGATGACAGGGTATGAAAATTAAAATTATAATTGGTCCGTAAGTTAGGTAATGAAAAAATATTAGACACGTACTTTTTTATTTTGTCGTATATCTTCTTTATATATATAATTCTTCTGTGAGTGTGTATGCCACTGAACTTCTCTAAAACGACTGGACCAATTTTGATGAAATTTTTTGTGTGTGTTCAAGGGGATCTGGGAATGGTTTAGATTCACAAATCAGCCCGGCACATGGCGCTGCAGTAGGTTTCTAGGTTATTTATCTATACCTATTATTGCAGGACAACGTCTGTCGGGTCCGCTAGTTAAAATATATATAATTCTACTGTACGTATGTATGTCATTGAACTCCTCTTAAACGGCTTGACCAATTTAAATGATTTTTTCTGTATGCGTTTGAGTGGCATCCTGGATGGTTTAGATTCACAAATCAGCTCGGCAGATGACTCCGCAGTCGGTATCTAGGTTATTTATCTATACCTATTTTATATTATATCCAGGATAACGTCTGTCGGGTCCGCTAGTATTAAAATAATACTTAGATAAAACAAATCAGAGTATACGAGTGGGGGCTGAAACGTCATTTCTACGTATAAAATGAACATAGAAGTGACGTCACGCGACGCGCAAATCGTCGTAAATATTCTATTCAGTAAGAAAATAAAAAATACGTGTTTAATGATTTAAAATAATCTACCAGACGGACATTAAAATATTAATTAGGCATCTACCCTATTATACCTAGCAATTTTATTATCACGGTGAATCTACCAGTTTGGTAGGAACTTGGTCCCATGCTATTCCTTCAGCCTGAATGAAATATCTTCAGTCATTCAATAAAACATCGAATCGTTAGACAGTTACTCAAACAGGTAGTTGACACTGTACCTAATATTTTATAAGTAGTGTTAATACATATATCCATGAACACAATGACTCATGAAAGTATTTTGACTAACCCGGACCAAATCAACATGAATCACTCTTTTCATTGTTTGTAGGTATAACAATATAGTATTTTATCGAATCCTATTGTGAAATATTTGATTAATTACGTACTCGCTTAGTCACATAAGTACATAAGTTATCCGTAGTAAATTGTATTTGCAATTTACAAAAACCGCAACGCTTTACAAGCATAGAACGCTTTATAGTAAAAGTTTTTGTGTTTTCATCATTAATATTGTGTGGGAGAGCCATGCTTTTGCATGAATGGGCCGGATCGACCGGAGTGATACCACGGCCTCACAGAAGACCGACGTACGTGAAACAACGTTGTGTTGTGTTTCGTCGTGTGAGTGAGGCTGCCAGATGTCTAATCACCGCCCCCCCCCTCCCTTTCCCCAATCCCTGAATCTCCAACAATCCTCAAATTCCTAATCCCAAAAGGCCGGTAACGCACTTGTAACGCCTCTGGTGTTCAGGGGGTCCATGGGCGACGCCGTTTGCTTACCATAAGGTGATCCATCTGCTTACCGGTTGATCCAATAAAAAAAAACAATATGGACTGCCCGTGAGAATATACCATTTACCTATAAACATGCTTTGCGTAATTATGAGGATTTCCCATAATGCCTACGTTTGGTAGACTAAATAAAGAACGTAGCTTTTCTTTGGTACAAGACGGTAAACAAGCAGACTTTTCACTTGATAGTAAATAATCGGCGCCGCCCATGGCCACCAGAGTAACTCTTTTAAGTAAAAAATGTATAGTAACTGTTATTATAAGGTAGCAGTTCGACAAAGTCATTCATAAATAATACTCATAATAATTGCATAGAAATTTATTAACTGATGAAGTATACAAAACTACATAAATAAATAATTGACGAGTTATTTTTTCACATACATAATATATCTAGATAATCTTATCCTAAATAGTTATTACAATAATAATTGTAAAACAGCGCAAACAAAGATCACAATAATACTGCTCTTGAACAGGAATGCTGAACTGGGTTCGAGACAATCATTGTCATGCGGGATTGATTTGAAATATGGTTGATGGAGCTCTTGTCGTTGTTCTATCAGACCTGCAATGGCTGTTACGCCAGCTGGTGACATAGACCTTGTTCGACTTAACTGCCAGGCGCGAACTGGAAATAGAATTAGAAATTTATTTGTTATTGTGATCGCTTCATTAGTCGAATGGTCGTGAGTATGACTGCCGAGTAATTTTGATTTCTAGGTAAAACAAATTATATTTTGAGGCTATTTCAGACTTATAACATAACTATTAAAATTTGAGTGTTTCATTATGTATGCACGTGTTCGTGTCCTTTTGCGTAGTAAAAGCCATTATTATTATTGCTACCATATTATTCTCATTTAACTGCTTGTCTTTACCGGGTAATTACCACAATAAGAATCACTTACATTGGATATGATAATATTGATATCAATGCTTCTACAAATTAAAATTATCTTCCTGAATTTACTTCATTGTACCAGGTATACTTGACATTTGGGGTTAAAATATAACAGGATGAAAATGTGAATGTTTGACAGTGAATAATATTAAAAAAAAGACAGATCAAACACATAATAATATTTCAGTTACCTTGTCGTTGAGAGCCACCTAAGTTGCTGCAACTGTACGCTACCGCATAACTCTCATAGTCAGTCGACAATATAAGGATGGTTGTCGCCGAATTTCCTGAAATTACAACAAAAAACATTAACCAAAATTAAATGCTACAGAAAGGTAGATGATAAAAGTTAATCTATCGAAACAGCAGGGTACTCAATAGAATTATGACCACCCTAAGCATTTCCATAGATGTTGAAAGAGCCGATTAAGAGCCGCCATACACGCACTGCTTGAAGCAGTCAGAATCGACAGTGCGTAGTGACCTACAGACTTCTACGTACATACACAAACAACTTGATAAGTTGCAACTGACATTTATTCAAGCGATCAAGCATTCACCAGGCATATACTAACTGCTCGAACTGTGGACGGATCTCATGACCCGACCCCTACCCGCGCTTTTCATTGAACGAGCAGTCCATGTCTGTTGACGCTAAGTAACTACATAATGGAACAGACGAGTTATGTTATATGTAGTTCAGGGTAGCAGCGCTCTTTGATAAACTGGAGTCTTTTAAACTGCGATCTATAACCTGCCTGTAAATAGAGATTATGTCAAGGGTATGTAAAGGGCCTCCTTTGAGTCCAGCAGTGGACAATAACGAGCTCTTGATTTTTACCAATAATGCTTATAAATTATGACAAATGAGTACCTTCAGACATCACAACAGATAATCTTCCGGTGCCATCAGTGGAAAGTTGACCTGTTCCTTCTACAGTAGACAATTCTCCATCAGAAACTTCATATGAAAGAACTTCAAATTCATTTGATTCTGAGTTATATGATGTCAATTTGAGTCCGATACAGCTGGTTTGAACAGCATCATATCTTTCGATCTGATACCAGGTTCCTTGGAACTGTAAACAAGTAGAAGCATTAATGTGTCTCAATGAGTCAATAGTAGGCAAGTCATTATTAACCTATTTCTGAATATGCATTCCAAGTACATTTCTTTTTCACGGTTAAAACTACTTACTCGTTCCATATCAAAGGATGACACTCCAGAAATTGACTCATCACATTGGCCAGGTAATATAACTTCACTTTCAGAGGGGTCAGGGTAGTGGAAGCATGCTTCATCACTCTGATCAGTGTGCAGGTAATATTTGTTTATTAGACCTTGTGTACTGCTAACCACTTCATTAATAACATCGTTATCCTGAGGACTCAGTGTTCCAGACCTACTTAGTTTCCAACTTCCAACTGTAAGTTAAAACCGTATATTTGATTACCACCACCAATTATTTTTTGTCATGAAATCAATTTTAAACATTAAGAATATTTTTTACCTCGTCTTCTGTTTCCGTTGTCCAAATTGATGCAATTGTATAGAATAGCATAGTTGATATAGTCGGTTGCCAGCACATATAATTTTGCTTCTATATTATCTGGAATTTAAATGTAATCGTCAGCTAAATATATTTAAATACTTTTCTATCAAAAAATCAAAGAACGGTCAAAAAGTTTAAAGACTAAACATTAGATAATGGAAATAAACATGAGGTTCATGTAGTAATCGTGGATACATTTGTTTTCGATTAAATGCTCCCATGGAATAAAACAGGAATCATATTTTACGCGGACGAAGTCGTGAGCAACAGCTAGTTCAATTTTTATTATATTTATGTTTTGTAAAATGTAGATAATTAAGAGTGCAAGTTATCAGCTTACCATCACCATCACCCAAAGATACGTCCAGTAAACCAGAGCCGTCAGTGCTAGCTATATTAGCATTTCCTTGTGAAATAAGCAGTTTTTCATTTACAACTTGGGTCGATACAATTGAGATGACGTCTCCACTATTATTGTACACGGCACTGTTACATTGACCTGTTTGTATTGGTTGCGGATATCTGGCGACTTCGAACCATTTTCCAGAGAACTGTGGAATATTAGCAGTATTTAGACAAACTTAAAAACATAACGTTACATAACGCCATTTTGATCTTTAAACTTGTAGAGTAGAGGTGCATTTTTGATATAACACCTTTTTTCCAGCTATAAGTTCATGCAATAGTGGTTCATTTTATCGCCATACTTCGGATGTATAATTACAAACTCCGTGTTATTGCTATGAGTTTTCGAGATATTGAAAAAAGACCCCATTATAGCTTTGCACTGCCTGATAAATCGTTCGCATCTCCTGGCGCAAGATTTGTATATGCGACCACTCGTACAGCAGAAAAAGACAGTAAAAAAAGCAATATTTAATTAGGTATCAAGGTTTAAATCTAAATGAGTGTATATACATAAATAATATTAATTAATACATACCGCAGTTCCATCGAAATTAGCGATTCCTTTAATAGATGCATCACAGGGTCCTGGCAATTCTATGGATGATGGTAGCTGGTCGAACTCTGGATAGTGGAAACAGGCTGTGTTGTCCTGTTTTGTAGTGCGATAGTATCCCTCAAACAAATCGATGTTATTGCTAACGTGTTCTTGGATGGCTGAGTGAGCTGATTCTGATAATCCTGCGCGAGATTTGCTCAGTTTCCAACTGTAAACTGCAAGAAAAGTTAATAACAATAAAATAAAAGTAAAAGTTAATAATAAAAAGTTAACAAGAATAAATAAAAGTTAATAATAAAAAGTTACAAATATAAGAGGTTAGATAAAATTGTATGCAAAGCTCAAAGCAAAGTCACGTTTATGTATGTATTTTAGGTGTATATAAGCGAGTTAGCAGCCGCCGACAAAGTGTTAAATATATTTTATAATCCAATGCCAGTTTGATGAAACTTTTCATCTGGTATTTAATTGATACATACATATAATGGGGATGATGACAGAGTATGAAAATTAAAAATATAATTAGTCCGTAAGTTAGGTAATGAAAAAATATTAGACACGTATTTTTTTATTTTGTCGTATAATAAAACAATACTTAGATAAAACGAATCAAAGTTTAGGAGTGGGGGCTAAAACATCATTCCTTAGTATAAAATGTACTGAGAAGTGACGTCACGCGACATTTCAAATCAATATATCTTCGAAACTATTCGTTTCTGTGAGAAAATAAAAAATACGTGTCTAATGTTTTTAAATAATCTATAAGACGGACATTAAAATAAAAATTAGTCGTCTACCCCATTGTAATATGTAGTATAATTATTCCATATTATAACATTATAATTATTATACACAATTTTATTAATTGCTCTCCCTCTAATAGCCTAGTGGTCTTAATTGCGACTGCTGGGCAAGAGGTCTCGGGTTCGATCCCCGGATCGGGAAAAGAATTTTAGGGATTTTTAAACTCTAAGTAGTAGCACGGAGTCTCGAATATGGTACGAATTGTGCTCGGTATATGACGATAGGCTCACCCATTACATGGGATTCATTACATAAATAGTGAAAAGTGGGTGTTACATTATACAGTGGCATTAAGTGCCATAATGTGTACTTCTGCTTACCCCTACGGAGATAAAAGGCGTGATGTTACGATGATGATCATGATGATTATGAGAGTTTTGTTTAATTAATAATATAAATATGTTATAGCCCCTACTATAAACTGGAGGCTCGAATACACCGCACTACGACATTGCAATTAAATTAATAAGTGTAAGAGCGATGCGCGGCAATCGCCAAGAATCGGCTCGAACGGAATATTTATATCAAATCAGGTTATCACAGCCCCTCAGGTTACCATTAGGTGATCCATCTGCTCTATCGGCCTATTCCATAAAAAATCATTTTGTTAAGCTATAATTGTACCTATCGCTACGGTACTTTTCCGCATTTAGAAAAATAATTTGTAGTTCGTAGTGGAACTGAACATTTTTATTGTAAAATATTTAATAGTAGGTTTTAATTTATTCTAACACCATGTTTTCATTAATGCAATAAAATATAGCGTAGCGTAGATGTCAATTCACACAATCATAAAAGAGTATATAATTTTCTTCATCATTCAACTCTGGGCGAGGTAGAATACAATTATATCTATAAGTATGATTCTCTTATTAATTGCCGGTTTTATTTATTTATAATAGTATAAAAATAAATGATCACAAGAAACTTACTTTGTTTTCTTTCTGCGTCGAGATTTCTACAACTATACGCCAATGCATATTCATTGTAATCAGTTAGTAAAATGTAGATGCTATTAAATGGCACTGAAAAATTTAAAATAATTAGTCAAGTCACGACTTTACCTTTTCGTAATTATTTTTTATACATAGTATGTGGGATTACTTTGGTGTATTCCTTAATATAGACATTATCTGCTTAAATGGGGACATCAATCTCATATGAATACTAAAACTTGAAAATTTCTTTTTCTTTATTTTTACCTCCATCGATATTTATATTATAGATGACTCCTCTACCGTCTGTAGCCAGTGTACCACTTGTAGCTGTACTCAACTGAGCCTCATCAATGACACTGGTTTTAACTATGTTGAAGTTACCATCAACTAGGGTAAATTCAGTTGCTGAGCATTCTCCATTCTGCAGATCTGACGGGAATCTGGCTACTTCATGCCATGTTCCAGCAAACTAAAACATTTTATTTGGTCATAAATCAAATCATACCAATTATTATTCGGTTGAAATAGAAGTGGTTAAATTACAACACGTCTAATAGAGCTGAATTTTGGTAGTCCGTAGATCAGACTCAGGAGTTACACGTCACAAGTAGTTTTGAGCTTAGTTGGGAACTGAGAAAAAGTGTGAATTATACAGTTTTGCAAAAGGAAGGTTCAGTATATAATTTTGTTTTTAGCAACCTCACAGTTTTTAGTCTAATGTGTAGTTAGAATTCCATGTAGAGAAGACATTACTAACCTCTGCAGAATTGAAACCGGTGACTGCTGGCACCTGAGCATCAGGAACACACTGTCCAGGCAAAATGACATCTCCACCATTATTGTCAGGATAATAGAAACAGTCTTCGTCACTATGCTTTCTCTCAACATAATATTTTTGTTCTAGCACTTGTACTTTGTCAAGCTCTTCATTGATTTTAGCTTGTGCATCGTCAGGTAAATAAGTACCTCTACCCAATTTCCAGCTGTGAACTGAAGTAAAAGCGGTATTGTTGAAAATAAAGAATACTATATCAAATATTATAATACTGTAAATAAAAAAAGGATAAATATGCACCTGCTCTGAATTCATCATCGATGTTTCGACAAGAATACACTAGTGAGTATGAAGTATAATCAGTGGCCAACACCCAGTATTTTGTAGTAACAACTGCAAAGAAAGCATATATGATTAGCTATAATAATAAAAAGTAATAAACTAAAACCCAACTACGACAAAAAACGACGCTAGAAAATGATAAAACAAGATTTTCAGAATACTGAATTGAACAAAGTTGGTAAAGTAGTTGCAAGTAAATGGATACAGTAGATTCTATCAAGACACCTTCGTTGTAAATTGACAATAGTGTGTACAATACTATTCTAAAGTAGATACACTTTCATGTTTGAAATACCGCAGTCACACGTTGTCAAAATGCTACGGCTTTTCTTCTTAAAGTTTAGAAGTTACGAGGGAACAGATGAATATACATACATACATAGTCTGTCAAAATCATAACCCTCCTTTGGCTTTGCTGTAATCGGGTAAAAATAGACAAACGTTATTTGCATAACAAATATGAATTGACTTCAGCCTACTAGCAAAAAATTGTAGGTGAGCTTAGTTACTTACTTTCAACTAATAAACAGATTTAAGTTTCGAAAACAAAATGTTTATACATACCCTCACGCCTGTCTTCCATAGGAGAAGCAAAGACTATGGTGCGCCAATTGCTACGTTTCTCACATACCTTTTTCGCCTCCTCAACAGTCTTTTCATGCATGCTCGTCTTTCAAATACTTAAAGCTAGTTTTAAAAAAGTAATCATTGAGGACATTTACCATTGCCATTGCTTTGTGTTAGTGTGACATCAAATTTGCCACTTCCATCATTACTAGTGGGATAAGCAACTCCTGTTGTAGTTTGCAGAATTTGCCCGGATACTTGGGTGTTTACCACTTGAAGTGTACCATCGGGATTAGGAGAGTATTCAGCGGTGTTACAAGTTCCGCTTTGGAACCGTGTTGGGTAGGATTCAATATCGAACCAGGTACCTTCATACTGTGTTAAAAAAAACAGTTATATGTGTGAAAATCTATCAAAGTTATAAGTACAATTTATATTAAACAATAATTGATCGAACTACAGGGCTATTTTAAATACACCTACACGACATCGCAGAACCGTATTATTAATATCATAATCAACAACATTGTTCTACAACTATTCTTCAGGTTATTTATGGATCAACATTTAAAACAAATACAAAAGTTAGATCGACTAGGGCTTTCTTTTAGATCTTCACTAGCATCTACCCGCGACTTCATACGCGCAATCCCGTTTTCTTCCGTAAACGTAGAATTTTCAGGACTTTTTCTGTCCAAAGAACCTTCTCCTGATCTCGATGTAACCTTTCTTTAGTGAAAGCATTATTCTGTAATTTGTTACTAATAATACGGCCCTGCAATTTTGTTTGTGTATTTATAGGACTCCTGTGTATACAAATATTATGTTTTTATGAGCGATATGGGCAGAGGAGCAGACAAGTTACCGTAGTATTGTTATGTACCGGACTACAGTACCACAGTAAAGAATCTACGCCCTCCATGGACACTCAAAGGAGTTAAAAGTATCTGTGTCTGTTTGTTTGTCCGTCTTTCACGGCAAAAGGGAGATGCGAATATTGTTTAAGTGGCGTGGATATCAAAAGAGTACAAGATTAGATAGCAAGCTAAAATAATTTGCAACTTTCATGAACAATCATCACTAGTTCAGCGAATTTTTTTATTGTATTTATTGGTTAAAGATGTAGATTGGTGGTATACATAAAAAAATATAAATAATGTGCCTGAGCTCAATATTCGCAGACAAAGTAAAGCTAGTAGTAATAATATAATTATAACTGTAAACATACCTCCTGAGGGTTGAAATTTTCAACAGCGTCTATGCTGTCATCGCACTGTCCAGGGAAAATTACATCAAAGTCGCTATCAACTGCGGGATAGTAAAAGCAACTCGCATCCGTTCGATCAATTTTTTGATAGTAACGCTCATCGAGAACATCTATGTTGTTAATTACGTCATTAATTGCTGTAGTTGCACTTGGTGGCAATGTACTAAATCGGCTCATTTTCCAGCTCCACACTAAAACACGGGCAAGTTACAAAAAATAAGGTCCCTTTTCACCAACGAAACTGATCACGATTACACCTAACAAAACTGATTTAACTCGTCGAGTACCGGTTTTATAGACACAATTAAAGAACAATAGGTCGCGGTCACCGGTGACCGCTCGGTGTTTGACAGATTAAAGCGTCTAATCGAATTTAAAGCGTTTAAACGAAGTTACAGCTTCATTTTACATTTCACCGCTACAAACAGAAACTAGTTTACATGGAACTCAGTACAGAAAACACAGAACACAGAACTTAGGTTACTTTAAACTTAGGTTACGTGTAACTGAGTTTTTACAGAGCTTGGTGAAAAGGGACCTTAGGAATGCATGTGATGTGTTGGTATCATAGTTCAGTATGTACGTAAAAACATTGCTAGGCACTAAAAAAAGACACTAGGTGCAACATCATACCACACTTTAAAGTCAAATAAAGAGATCAACATTTAACTAAAACCGTCATATAAAAACACAGCACTTACCTCTTCGTTGATGATTGGGTAGATTAACGCATGTATAAACCAGCGCGTATGAGTCATAGTCAGTTGCTAATATCCAGTATTCAGTGGGTGTTCCTGCATTATAAAAATGAACTATTTTTAACATAAATACTTATAATACGGGGTTAAAGCCGCGTCGTTTTCTAGGAGGTAACTCGGCTGTCGATTCTGAGTCCGAATCAACAAAAAAAAATATTTTTAATTTTTCTGTAAATTACGGAAATCCGTAAGTGCGAACTACACGCCGCCGTCTTGTAACTAGCTTTATAACGCGGCTTAACACACACAAACTCAAACATGTAATTGATATTATTCCTAATTCCATAAAACTCCAATAAGAAGCATTACTGTCGCTTTTTCTGAAATACCGTCGAACTTAAAAGATTTATTATAGTCGTATTTTTAACTATTGGCCCGAAATTTTCTTTTACATTGAACCTTTAGGACTTCTGTGACATGCCCCCGAGAAATGACACGGCTTCAAAACTACACCTTGTATAATACTTTACTTTGTATTCCTTCTATCTGTTTTAGTATTATACATATGTATGTATGTAATTGTGCTTAAAAAGTTTACACTCTAAATCTGTATTTAATTGAACCATCAGGCTGAGATGTATTTAAATTGGCTAATGCAGAAGTAGCGTCTAGAATAATGTTATTCAGATGCTCATTGACTGTGGCAAATTTATAATAGTCATTCAGCCAAAAATATAGATCTTAAAGACAAATAAAGCTATTAAATAGGTGGTAACGAGATTTATTAATTCCTATTATAAAATTGAAATGTTAGTACTTACGGTCAGGGAAAGTGACGACAAGTTTGCCGCTTCCATCACTGGCAAGTGGAACAGCCGAGCCTACAATACTAGTCAGTTGTTCATTAACAACTTTAGAGTTAGTTACAATCAGTGTGCCATCAGATGACGCTGCATAAGAAGCGGCGTTGCATGTACCTTCTTGGAATTCTGAATAGTATGATTCAAGTAATCGCCAGCGTCCCAGGTACTGAAGCAAAACAATAGATATAATAATCAAATAAGTAGTTTCATTGTCGTGGTGGCCCGGAGGTTTAAGACGTCCACTTCTCATGCATGAGGGTGCGGGTTCGAAACCTACCAACGGCAAGTACCAATGTGACTTTTTCCGAGTTATATGTACTTTCTAAGATTATTTAGACACCACTGACAAACGGTGAAGGAAAAACATCGTGAGGAAACCTGGACTTATAATTTCTAATTATAAGTTTGAAATCGCCAACCCGCATTGAGCAAGCGTGGTGATTAATGCTCTAACCTTCTCCGTGTGAGAAGAGGCTTTGTTCAGCAGTGGGCATTTATAGGCTGTTGATGAAGTAGTTTCTTTGTCTTTTTGATACCTGAGATTCATCGTATACAGGTTGTCCCTCAAGTCGACGATCAAATGGAACCAGGTGATTGGCAAGGTTTTAACATTCACAAGAAAAATATAGATTAAAAAATCCAAGTCATAGTTTTTAAATTACAATCACTTATTTGTTATATACCAAAAAGTACACCCTGTGTCAGTTTTTTGACACCTGTTGCTACATTTCTTTATTTTTTCACCTGTATTTTTGTTTACGTTAACCTGTCATAGTGCGACAAATTTTGGATAACTTTGATCAGTTAAAATAAAAATTGATATAAACATTAAATAACACATACAAGTACTCGCATGTGATTCAAAAACACAGTATGATACATTTGTACTCCAGACACCTGGAAAACTGACTGCAATACTGCTCGCTTTAGATAACAACAAGACTAGTATTGCCAAAAACTGCGATCCAGCAGAAGGATATCACGGTAACAGAGTAATTTGTGTTGTTCTACCAAATAACTAAATAGATTGTTCAAATAATGAAAAACAATATCGTTCTTAAGAGAACTCTTAGGTCTTCCACTGATTACGTTAAAAATATTTTTCTCTCACAAACCTTTATTATGTCGAAGTCTTGTATAACAGGAATATTAAGATCACACTGTCCAGGGAATATAACGGGGTCATTGGGACCCAGGTCAGGATAATGGAAACAAGCTTCATCTGTTTGTTCAACGTTCTCGAAGTATCTATCGTCTATTACGTCGATGTTTGTCATGGCGTCATTGATGACTGCATTACCAGTACTTGATAATTCTCTGGACCTGCTTAGCTTCCAGCTGTGGACTAGAACAATAAGAATATATTACGTATATTAAACATTCATACATACGTGCAGTGGAAAGTGTCCAGTGTACGATTTTATTTCAACTCACCTTTTCGGTAATTTCTATCGATGTTGACACAACTGTACGCCAACGCATATTCATCATATTTTACGCTTAGGATCCAGAAAGGTATTGCTATGAAACGAAACACATTTGATTATTATATTGGCACTATATTGAAAAGTACTAAAATATATATCGAAAGTGAAACTTACGCTCTGCATTGGATTGAATATTGATATTCAATCTTCCACTACCGTCAGTGGAAGCGACTGTGACGGTACCTTCTGTGCTCGATTGGAATTGGTCGAGTACACTGAATGACTCTAGATGCATGGTGTTGTCGTTGGTGAGGGTGAATTGTTGGCTGATGCATTGCCCAGACTGGCTAGCCCTTGGATACGCTGAGATCTCATGCCATGTACCTGCGAACTGAAATATAAGTACTTGGTTGAGCATGAATGTTCTGTTAACCGGTACAAAAAATTTTTCATGACGATAATACGAATCTCACTTCGTTTATGTCGAAGTTCGGTACCGCTGCAATACTATCGTCGCACTGTCCAGGGAACACCACTGGCACTCCTGGTTGTGGTTCAGGGAAGTAGAAACAGCCATCAGGGTCTTGGTCACGTTTTACGAAATATCTCTGGTCCAAAACTTTTATGTCGTTCATGGCGTTGCTAATAGCAGTCTCATCTGCAGCTTCTAAAACCTTTTCTCTGCTCAGTTTCCAAGAAGAAACTGAAAATAAAGAGAAAAATGATTTATAATAACAACTCGATTTGTGTCAAATAATCATTTAGTAAAAGTTCAGGATAGAAGTAGTTTACCTCTCATGTAGTCATCATCAATATTGGTACAAGAGTAAACCAACGCATACGATTCGTAGTTGGTGGATAGCACCCAGTAATCTGTAGTAACTGTAACAGCACACAGACAAAAGAAGTGACATTAATATATATATTAATAATTACCTTTCATTGAACAGCATTGAGTTGTACTACTTGGATACTGACCTTCGGTATTTTGTACATTGAATGTAACTTTAAGTTTTCCACTTCCATCTGTAGATGCTAGTGTAGCAACTCCATCGATAGTCACTAAGGTCTGGTCAACAACGTGACTATTGCGCACAGAAACAGTGTTGCCGGTCAAAGTGTAATGTGCGTTGGGGCATGTGCCGTCTTGGAATGCCGATGGATAAGATTCGACGTCGTACCATAAATTCATATACTAAAACATATAATTAGGATATTCCAATTGGATTCGCAATTAGATAGTAAAATTTATACATTATTATTAAAATTTGTATGGAGGTCTCGTTGGTCGAGCGGTTGCAAGTGCGACTGCCGGGCAAGGGTTTCGGGTTCGATTTTTGGGTCAGGTAAAGAATTACAGAAGTAGCACGGATTCTGGAACTGTGCCCGGGGTATGCAATAGGCTCACCACCTATTACATAGGACTCATAACATAAATAGTGAAAAGTGGGTGTTACGTTGTACAGTGGCATTAAGTGCCGTAATGTGCACTTCTGCCTACCCCTTCGGTGATAAAAGGCGGGATGTTATGTTATTTGTATGGAGATAGGTAGTTATCCAAGCCGTTTACAAGTTACAGTAAATTACCTTGTTGAGATCAAAATCTTTAACAGCTTCGATAGTCTGGTCACACTGACCACGGAAAATGACGTTAGAGTTTGGATTGAATTCTGGGAAATAGAAACAAGCCTCAGGTCTGCGGTCTACTGAATAGTAGTAAGGCTGGTGCAATACTTCGATTTCTTCAATTACTTTGTTTATTGCATTGGTTGCATCCGTGGTCAAGGTATTATAGCGACTGAATTTCCAGCTTGTAACTGAAAGAAAGCAAAAGCACATAATTATTATTGTGTCAAAATTTGAATACCTTTTTTAAATTGTATATCTTAAACAATGTAGGGTTGATATCAATGTATAGAGTAATTTAAGTAACTTTATAAGTAGTAGTAAGAAAAAGAAATTGTGTGGAGCTTACTTCTTCTTCGGTCATTGTCTATGTTTTCACAGCCATATGTCAGTGCGTATGATTTGTAATCAGTTGCCAATACCAACATAACATACTCTCGATTTCCTAGAAAAAATAAAAATTTTGTTTTAGCCCACGTTTCCTTCAAAGCATGATTTAGGAAATCTCTAACACCATAGATCTCTGTGCTTGCTGACAGTCAATTAGCGATTTCAAGCTTGGACAATGTATAATAATTATGTAATCTGAAAGAAACGATCACTGGAAAATGTCCACAGTTTCCAATTTACCGGTCCACAGCGACCCATCCATAGCTCTACCTTTTTTCCCATTACCCACAATAGTTCTACACTAACCAAGGACTGTCCTTGGGTGCATTTCCATTGTGCATACAGGGATAGTCGCCGGTTTGTATGTCCATTACATTTAGATAAAAGTTTTTTTTTATTAAAACGTTGCCCCACACTAGGATTATCGTGGGTGCGTTTACAAACATACAAGTTCACATACACATGACACTCAGAACCGAAATAACTATTTGTGGATCACACAAAGTGTTGTTCCGTGAGTGAATCGAACCCGCGCCACGTTGCACGGCAGCCGGTTGCCCAGCCATCGAACCAACCGTGCAGTTATTTAAAGGGCCTCTGCGCAGTTCAGTCCCTCAGATGCCTCCGTATGCCTCCCAAATGACTGGGACCCTCTGTCCCGTAAATGGTAAAGACATACATAATAATAATAATAGTAAAAGTAATATGATTTTATAGAGCTGAAGAGTTTGTTTGTCCGAACGTACTAATCTTCGGAACTGCAGGTCTGATTTAACTATTCTTTCTAAGTTGGATAGTGCATTTATAGTGTATAAAACGTCACGCTGCAATCTATAGGAACTGAGCAGAGCTGGTAAAACCACGTGGTAGTAGCTAGTACGGTAAAAACAGTGTATTATTTAAATATGCGGAGTGTTATATTTTTGTTATTATTTAATTATAACCATTTTTTATTTTTTTTCAATGTGTAATGTGTATTGAATTTTAAGCGGAAATTCCCAAGTAATTTTTTATAGAAGGGGTGAGGTCTCTTTAGCCCCCTGACAGCACAGTTGTTGAAAGGTGTGTCCGATGCGCAGACTAGCGGAACACAGATCCGGTCGTTAAGAGAATCCATGGTCGAACGTTTGAACTCGACCTTGAAGGCGGTCTCCGACTGGGGTGACGCCAACTTGGTTAGGTTTAATGCTAGCAAAACCCAGGCATGTCTATTCTCCGCCAAACGGAGTCAATTTCCACCGACTCCTACTTTCCGGAATGTATCCGTACCGGTAACCGATCATCTTGCGCTTCTTGGCGTAACTCTGACGCCGACAGTCAACTTTGGCTCCTAAATAGAGTTAAAAGCGCAATTGTCAGGTAGGAAGTTGGGTATCCTATGGAGGGTAAGACGGTACTTCACGCCGAAACAATTGCTGAGCCTGTACCAAGCACAGGTTCGGTCCTGTATGGAGTATTGCTCTCATCTTTAGGACGGCTCGGCTAAATATCGTCTCGACGCGTTAGAGCACACTGAGAGGCATGCCAAGAGGCTCATCGACGATGATGCGCTTATGGAGGCCCGGCTTCAAAGCCTCGAATACAGGCGTAAGGTTTTCGGTTTTCTACCGGATACATTTCGGTGAGTGTGCGGGGGAATTGCACAACTTGATTCCCCCTGGCCCTTTCCATCATCGTACCACAAGACAATCGGCGAAGCGACACCGATTCATGGTAGATGTTCCACCCACACGCACGAAGCGCTTTGCTTCAAGCTTCCTTATGCGTACTGCTTAACAGTGGAATTCTTTGCCAGAGTCTGTATTTCCTGAAGGGTACCTGGGAGTCTTCAAGGCCCCACTGAATAGGTAGCTTATAGAACTACGTGTTCCATCGTAGACCGCACCATCGCTAACCACCAGGCAAGATAGTGATTAAACGTCGCCCCATCAAATATAATAAAAAAATAATTGAATACTTACGTATTAAACAACAAATCTAAATGTAATGACTAAAAAGTACTTACTCATATTAAATGTAAGTTGTCCGGTTCCATCTGTACTAGAAATAGTGGCAGTCCCAGAAATAGTGGTCAGAACCTCGTTGACAACCTGGGAGTTTGTGATGCCGAGAGTGTTGCTGGATTGCAATATGTATTCAGCTACGTTGCAAGTGCCACTTTGGAATCGGGATCCGTAGCTCTCAATGAGGCGCCACTGGCCGGCATACTGCAATGATCATAATCAGTATAGAAAAATCAATCATAAAAGAAAAAAAATTCTGTCATTTTTTAAGTCTGGTGAATTCTTTAAAAGGTTTTTAGATTTTGTGAGGAAACTTACATCTGCAATTCTAAAATCAGCTATTCCTTTAATAGTTGGGTCGCACTGTCCAGGAAGTACAATATTTTCACCGGGTGTTATGTCGGGAAGATGGAAACAAGCTTCATCTGTTTGTTCAACGTTCTCGAAGTATCTATCGTCTATTACGTCGATGTTTGTCATGGCGTCATTGATGACTGTATTACCAGTACTTGATAATTCTCTGGACCTGCTTAACTTCCAGCTGTGGACTAGAACAATAGGAATATATTACGTATATTAAACATTCATACGTGCAGTGGAAAGTGTCCAGTGTACGATTTTATTTCAACTCACCTTTTCGGTAATTTCTATCGATGTTGACACAACTGTACGCCAACGCATATTCATCATATTTTACGCTTAGGATCCAGAAAGGTATTGCTATGAAACGAAACACATTTGATTATTATATTGGCACTATATTGAAAAGTACTAAAATATATATCGAAAGTGAAACTTACGCTCTGCATTGGATTGAATATTGATATTCAATCTTCCACTACCGTCAGTGGAAGCGACTGTGACGGTACCTTCTGTGCTCGATTGGAATTGGTCGAGTACACTGAATGACTCTAGATGCATGGTGTTGTCGTTGGTGAGGGTGAATTGTTGGCTGATGCATTGCCCAGACTGGCTAGCCCTTGGATACGCTGAGATCTCATGCCATGTACCTGCGAACTGAAATATAAGTACTTGGTTGAGCATGAATGTTCTGTTAACCGGTACAAAAAATTTTTCATGACGATAATACGAATCTCACTTCGTTTATGTCGAAGTTCGGTACCGCTGCAATACTATCGTCGCACTGTCCAGGGAACACCACTGGCACTCCTGGTTGTGGTTCAGGGAAGTAGAAACAGCCATCAGGGTCTTGGTCACGTTTTACGAAATATCTCTGGTCCAAAACTTTTATATCGTTCATGGCGTTGCTAATAGCAGTCTCATCTGCAGCTTCTAAAACCTTTTCTCTGCTCAGTTTCCAAGAAGAAACTGAAAATGAAGAGAAAAATGATTTATCATAACAACTAGATTTGTGTCAAATAATCATTTAGTAAAAGTTCAGGATAGAAGTAGTTTACCTCTCATGTAGTCATCATCAATATCGGTACAAGAGTAAACCAACGCATACGATTCGTAGTTGGTGGATAGCACCCAGTAATCTGTGGTAACTGTAACAGCACACAGACAAAAGAAGTGACATTAATATATATATTAATAATTACCTTTCATTAAACAGCATTGAGTTGTACTACTTGGATACTGACCTTCGGTATTTTGTACATTGAATGTAACTTTAAGTTTTCCACTTCCATCTGTAGATGCTAGTGTAGCAACTCCATCGATAGTCACTAAGGTCTGGTCAACAACGTGACTATTGCGCACAGAAACAGTGTTGCCGGTCAAAGTGTAATGTGCGTTGGGGCATGTGCCGTCTTGGAATGCCGATGGATAAGATTCGACGTCGTACCATAAATTCATATACTAAAACAGATAATTAGGATATTCCAATTGGATTCGCAATTAGATAGTAAAATTTATACATTATTATTAAAATTTGTATGGAGGTCTCGTTGGTCGAGCGGTTGCAAGTGCGACTGCCGGGCAAGAGGTTTCGGGTTCGATTTTTGGGTCAGGTAAAGAATTACAGAAGTAGCACGGATTCTGGAACTGTGCCCGGGGTATGCAATAGGCTCACCACCTATTACATAGGACTCATAACATAAATAGTGAAAAGTGGGTGTTACGTTGTACAGTGGCATTAAGTGCCGTAATGTGCACTTCTGCCTACCCCTTCGGTGATAAAAGGCGGGATGTTATGTTATTTTGTATGGAGAGAGGTAGTTATCCAAGCCGTTTACAAGTTACAGTAAATTACCTTGTTGAGATCAAAATCTTTAACAGCTTCGATAGTCTGGTCACACTGACCACGGAAAATGACGTTAGAGTTTGGATTGAATTCTGGGAAATAGAAACAAGCCTCAGGTCTGCGGTCTACTGAATAGTAGTAAGGCTGGTGCAATACTTCGATTTCTTCAATTACTTTGTTTATTGCATTGGTTGCATCCGTGGTCAAGGTATTATAGCGACTGAATTTCCAGCTTGTAACTGAAAGAAAGCAAAAGCACATAATTATTATTGTGTCAAAATTTGAATACCTTTTTTAAATTGTATATCTTAAACAATGTAGGGTTGATATCAATGTATAGAGTAATTTAAGTAACTTTATAAGTAGTAGTAAGAAAAAGAAATTGTGTGGAGCTTACTTCTTCTTCGGTCATTGTCTATGTTTTCACAGCCATATGTCAGTGCGTATGATTTGTAATCAGTTGCCAATACCAACATAACATACTCTCGATTTCCTAGAAAAAATAAAAATTTTGTTTTAGCTCACGTTTCCTTCAAAGCATGATTTAGGAGATCTCTAACACCATAGATCTCTGTGCTTGCTGACAGTCAATTAGCGATTTCAAGCTTGGACAATGTATAATAATTATGTAATCTGAAAGAAACGATCACTGGAAAATGTCGACAGTTTCCAATTTACCGGTCCACAGCGACCCATCCATAGCTCTACCTTTTTTCCCATTACCCACAATAGTTCTACACTAACCAAGGACTGTCCTTGGGTGCATTTCCATTGTGCATACAGGGATAGTCGCCGGTTTGTATGTCCATTACATTTAGATAAAAGTTTTTTTTTATTAAAACGTTGCCCCACACTAGGATTATCGTGGGTGCGTTTACAAACATACAAGTTCACATACACATGACACTCAGAACCGAAATAACTATTTGTGGATCACACAAAGTGTTGTTCCGTGAGTGAATCGAACCCGCGCCACGTTGCACGGCAGCCGGTTGCCCAGCCATCGCACCAACCGTGCAGTTATTTAAAGGGCCTCTGCGCAGTTCAGTCCCTCAGATGCCTCCGTATGCCTCCCAAATGACTGGGACCCTCTGTCCCGTAAATGGTAAAGACATACATAATAATAATAATAGTAAAGTAATATGATTTTATAGAGCTGAAGAGTTTGTTTGTCCGAACGTGCTAATCTTCGGAACTGCAGGTCTGATTTAACTATTCTTTCTAAGTTGGATAGTGCATTTATAGTGTATAAAACGTCACGCTGCAATCTATAGGAACTGAGCAGAGCTGGTAAAACCACGTGGTAGTAGCTAGTACGGTAAAAACAGTGTATTATTTAAATATGCGGTGTTTATATTTTTGTTATTATTTAATTATAACCATTTTTTATTTTTTTTCAATGTGTAATGTGTATTGAATTTTAAGCGGAAATTCCCAAGTAATTTTTTATAGAAGGGGTGAGGTCTCTTTAGCCCCTGACAGCACAGTTGTTGAAAGGTGTGTCCGATGCGCAGACTAGCGGAACACAGATCCGGTCGTTAAGAGAATCCATGGTCGAACGTTTGAACTCGACCTTGAAGGCGGTCTCCGACTGGGGTGACGCCAACTTGGTTAGGTTTAATGCTAGCAAAACCCAGGCATGTCTATTCTCCGCCAAACGGAGTCAATTTCCACCGACTCCTACTTTCCGGAATGTATCCGTACCGGTAACCGATCATCTTGCGCTTCTTGGCGTAACTCTGACGCCGACAGTCAACTTTGGCTCCTAAATAGAGTTAAAAGCGCAATTGTCAGGTAGGAAGTTGGGTATCCTATGGAGGGTAAGACGGTACTTCACGCCGAAACAATTGCTGAGCCTGTACCAAGCACAGGTTCGGTCCTGTATGGAGTATTGCTCTCATCTTTAGGACGGCTCGGCTAAATATCGTCTCGACGCGTTAGAGCACACTGAGAGGCATGCCAAGAGGCTCATCGACGATGATGCGCTTATGGAGGCCCGGCTTCAAAGCCTCGAATACAGGCGTAAGGTTTTCGGTTTTCTACCGGATACATTTCGGTGAGTGTGCGGGGGAATTGCACAACTTGATTCCCCCTGGCCCTTTCCATCATCGTACCACAAGACAATCGGCGAAGCGACACCGATTCATGGTAGATGTTCCACCCACACGCACGAAGCGCTTTGCTTCAAGCTTCCTTATGCGTACTGCTTAACAGTGGAATTCTTTGCCAGAGTCTGTATTTCCTGAAGGGTACCTGGGAGTCTTCAAGGCCCCACTGAATAGGTAGCTTATAGAACTACGTGTTCCATCGTAGACCGCACCATCGCTAACCACCAGGCAAGATAGTGATTAAACGTCGCCCCATCAAATTAATAAAAAAATAATTGAATACTTACGTATTAAACAACAAATCTAAATGTAATGACTAAAAAGTACTTACTCATATTAAATGTAAGTTGTCCGGTTCCATCTGTACTAGAAATAGTGGCAGTCCCAGAAATAGTGGTCAGAACCTCGTTGACAACCTGGGAGTTTGTGATGCCGAGAGTGTTGCTGGATTGCAATATGTATTCAGCTACGTTGCAAGTGCCACTTTGGAATCGGGATCCGTAGCTCTCAATGAGGCGCCACTGGCCGGCATACTGCAATGATCATAATCAGTATAGAAAAATCAATCATAAAAGAAAAAAAATTCTGTCATTTTTTAAGTCTGGTGAATTCTTTAAAAGGTTTTTAGATTTTGTGAGGAAACTTACATCTGCAATTCTAAAATCAGCTATTCCTTTAATAGTTGTGTCGCACTGTCCAGGAAGTACAATATTTTCACCGGGTGTTATGTCGGGAAGATGGAAACAAGCTTCATCTGTTTGTTCAACGTTCTCGAAGTATCTATCGTCTATTACGTCGATGTTTGTCATGGCGTCATTGATGACTGCATTACCAGTACTTGATAATTCTCTGGACCTGCTTAACTTCCAGCTGTGGACTAGAACAATAGGAATATATAACGTATATTAAACATTCATACGTGCAGTGGAAAGTGTCCAGTGTACGATTTTATTTCAACTCACCTTTTCGGTAATTTCTATCGATGTTGACACAACTGTACGCCAACGCATATTCATCATATTTTACGCTTAGGATCCAGAAAGGTATTGCTATGAAACGAAACACATTTGATTATTATATTGGCACTATATTGAAAAGTACTAAAATATATATCGAAAGTGAAACTTACGCTCTGCATTGGATTGAATATTGATATTCAATCTTCCACTACCGTCAGTGGAAGCGACTGTGACGGTACCTTCTGTGCTCGATTGGAATTGGTCGAGTACACTGAATGACTCTAGATGCATGGTGTTGTCGTTGGTGAGGGTGAATTGTTGGCTGATGCATTGCCCAGACTGGCTAGCCCTTGGATACGCTGAGATCTCATGCCATGTACCTGCGAACTGAAATATAAGTACTTGGTTGAGCATGAATGTTCTGTTAACCGGTACAAAAAATGTTTCATGACGATAATACGAATCTCACTTCGTTTATGTCGAAGTTCGGTACCGCTGCAATACTATCGTCGCACTGTCCAGGGAACACCACTGGCACTCCTGGTTGTGGTTCAGGGAAGTAGAAACAGCCATCAGGGTCTTGGTCACGTTTTACGAAATATCTCTGGTCCAAAACTTTTATATCGTTCATGGCGTTGCTAATAGCAGTCTCATCTGCAGCTTCTAAAACCTTTTCTCTGCTCAGTTTCCAAGAAGAAACTGAAAATGAAGAGAAAAATGATTTATCATAACAACTAGATTTGTGTCAAATAATCATTTAGTAAAAGTTCAGGATAGAAGTAGTTTACCTCTCATGTAGTCATCATCAATATCGGTACAAGAGTAAACCAACGCATACGATTCGTAGTTGGTGGATAGCACCCAGTAATCTGTGGTAACTGTAACAGCACACAGACAAAAGAAGTGACATTAATATATATATTAATAATTACCTTTCATTAAACAGCATTGAGTTGTACTACTTGGATACTGACCTTCGGTATTTTGTACATTGAATGTAACTTTAAGTTTTCCACTTCCATCTGTAGATGCTAGTGTAGCAACTCCATCGATAGTCACTAAGGTCTGGTCAACAACGTGACTATTGCGCACAGAAACAGTGTTGCCGGTCAAAGTGTAATGTGCGTTGGGGCATGTGCCGTCTTGGAATGCCGATGGATAAGATTCGACGTCGTACCATAAATTCATATACTAAAACAGATAATTAGGATATTCCAATTGGATTCGCAATTAGATAGTAAAATTTATACATTATTATTAAAATTTGTATGGAGGTCTCGTTGGTCGAGCGGTTGCAAGTGCGACTGCCGGGCAAGAGGTTTCGGGTTCGATTTTTGGGTCAGGTAAAGAATTACAGAAGTAGCACGGATTCTGGAACTGTGCCCGGGGTATGCAATAGGCTCACCACCTATTACATAGGACTCATAACATAAATAGTGAAAAGTGGGTGTTACGTTGTACAGTGGCATTAAGTGCCGTAATGTGCACTTCTGCCTACCCCTTCGGTGATAAAAGGCGGGATGTTATGTTATTTTGTATGGAGAGAGGTAGTTATCCAAGCCGTTTACAAGTTACAGTAAATTACCTTGTTGAGATCAAAATCTTTAACAGCTTCGATAGTCTGGTCACACTGACCACGGAAAATGACGTTAGAGTTTGGATTGAATTCTGGGAAATAGAAACAAGCCTCAGGTCTGCGGTCTACTGAATAGTAGTAAGGCTGGTGCAATACTTCGATTTCTTCAATTACTTTGTTTATTGCATTGGTTGCATCCGTGGTCAAGGTATTATAGCGACTGAATTTCCAGCTTGTAACTGAAAGAAAGCAAAAGCACATAATTATTATTGTGTCAAAATTTGAATACCTTTTTAAATTGTATATCTTAAACAATGTAGGGTTGATATCAATGTATAGAGTAATTTAAGTAACTTTATAAGTAGTAGTAAGAAAAAGAAATTGTGTGGAGCTTACTTCTTCTTCGGTCATTGTCTATGTTTTCACAGCCATATGTCAGTGCGTATGATTTGTAATCAGTTGCCAATACCAACATAACATACTCTCGATTTCCTAGAAAAAATAAAAATTTTGTTTTAGCCCACGTTTCCTTCAAAGCATGATTTAGGAGATCTCTAACACCATAGATCTCTGTGCTTGCTGACAGTCAATTAGCGATTTCAAGCTTGGACAATGTATAATAATTATGTAATCTGAAAGAAACGATCACTGGAAAATGTCCACAGTTTCCAATTTACCGGTCCACAGCGACCCATCCATAGCTCTACCTTTTTTCCCATTACCCACAATAGTTCTACACTAACCAAGGACTGTCCTTGGGTGCATTTCCATTGTGCATACAGGGATAGTCGCCGGTTTGTATGTCCATTACATTTAGATAAAAGTTTTTTTTTATTAAAACGTTGCCCCACACTAGGATTATCTCCTGTGTCGTGGGTGCGTTTACAAACATACAAGTTCACATACACATGACACCCAGACCCGAAATAACTATTTGTGGATCACACAAAGTGTTGTTCCGTGCGTGAATCGAACCCGCGCCACGTTGCACGGCAGCCGGTTGCCCAGCCACCGCACCAACCGTGCAGTTATTTAAAGGGCCTCTGCGCAGTTGGCTTCAGTCCCTCAGATGCCTCGGTATGCCTCCCAAATGACTGGGACCCTCTGTCCCGTAAATGGTAAAGACATACATAATAATAATAGTTAAACTAATATGATTTTATAGAGCTGAAGAGTTTGTTTGTCCGAACGTACTAATCTTCGGAATTGCAGGTCTGATTTTAAATATTCTTTCTAAGTTGGATAGTGCATTTATAGTGTATAAAACGTCACGCTGCAATCTATAGGAACTGAGCAGAGCTGCTAAAACCACGTGGTAGTAGCTAGTACGGTAAAAACAGTGTATTATTACAATACCTATGCGGAGTGTTTTATTTTTGTTATTATTTAATTAAAACCATTTTATTTTATTTTTATTCAATGTGTAATGTGTATTGAATTTTAAGCGGAAATTCCCAAGTAATTTTTTATAGAAGGGGTGAGGTCTCTTTAGCCCCCTGACAGCACAGTTGTTGAAAGGTGTGTCCGATGTGTGTGGTTAGGTTTAATGCTAGCAAAACCCAGGCATGTCTATTCTCCGCCAAACGGAGTCAATTTCCACCGACTCCTACTTTCCGGAATGTTTCCGTACCGGTAACCGATCATCTCGAGCTTCTTGGCGTAACTTTGACGCCGACAGTCAACTTTGGCTCCTAAATAGAGTTAAAAGCGCAATTGTCAGGTAGGAAGTTGGGTATCCTATGGAGGGTAAGACGGTACTTCACGCCGAAACAATTGCTGAGCCTGTACCAAGTACAGGTTCGGTCCTGTATGGAGTATTGCTCTCATCTTTGGGACGGCTCGGCTAAATATCAGCTCGACGCGTTAGAGCACACTGAGAGGCATGCCAAGAGGCTTATCGACAATGATGCGCTTATGGAGGCCCGGCTTCAAAGCCTCGAATACAGGCGTAAGGTTTTCGGTTTTCTACCGGATACATTTCGGTGAATGTGCGGGGGAATTGCACAACTTGATTCCCCCTGGCCCTTTCCATCATCGTACCGCAAGACAATCGGCGAAGCGACACCGATTCATGGTAGATGTTCCACCCACACGCACGAAGCGCTTTGCTTCAAGCTTCCTTATGCGTACTGCTTAAGAGTGGAATTCTTTGCCAGAGTCTAACTTTGTCTTTCTTTGTCAGAGAGAAGGGTATAACCTGGGAGTCTTCAAGGCCCCAGTGAATAGGTAGCTTATAGGACTACGTGCTCCATCGTAGACCGCATCATCGCTTACCACCAGGCTAGATAGTTGTTAAACGTCGCCCCATCAAATATAATAAAAAATTAATTGAATACTTACGTATAAAACAACAAATCTAAATGGGATGACTAAAAAGTACTTACTCATATTAAATGTAAGTTGTCCGGTTCCATCTGTACTAGAAATTGTGGCAGTCCCAGAAATAGTGGTCAGAACCTCGTTGACAACCTGGGAGTTTGTGATGCCGAGAGTGTTGCTGGATTGCAATATGTATTCAGCTACGTTGCAAGTGCCACTTTGGAATGGGGATCCGTAGCTCTCAATGAGGCGCCACTGGCCGGCATACTGCAATGATCATAATCAGTATAGAAAAATCAATCATAAAAGAAAAAAAATTCTGTCATTTTTTAAGTCTGGTGAATTCTTTAAAAGGTTTTTAGATTTTGTGAGGAAACTTACATCTGCAATTCTAAAATCAGCTATTCCTTTAATAGTTGGGTCGCACTGTCCAGGAAGTACAATATTTTCACCGGGTGTTATGTCGGGAAGATGGAAACAAGCTTCATCTGTTTGTTCAACGTTCTCGAAGTATCTATCGTCTATTACGTCGATGTTTGTCATGGCGTCATTGATGACTGCATTACCAGTACTGGATAATTCTCTGGACCTGCTTAGCTTCCAGCTGTGGACTAGAACAATAGGAATATATAACGTATATTAAACATTCATACGTGCAGTGGAAAGTGTCCAGTGTACGATTTTATTTCAACTCACCTTTTCGGTAATTTCTATCGATGTTGACACAACTGTACGCCAACGCATAGTCATCATATTTTACGCTTAGGATCCAGAAAGGTATTGCTATGAAACGAAACACATTTGATTATTATATTGGCACTATATTCAAAAATAATAAAATATATAACGAATGTAAAACTTACGCTCTGCATTGGATTGAATATTGATATTCAATCTTCCACTACCGTCAGTGGAAGCGACTGTGACGGTACCTTCTGTGCTCGATTGGAATTGGTCGAGTACACTGAATGACTCTAGATGCATGGTGTTGTCGTTGGTGAGGGTGAATTGTTGGCTGATGCATTGCCCAGACTGGCTAGCCCTTGGATACGCTGAGATTTCATGCCATGTACCTGCGAACTGAAATATAAAAACTTGTTTGAGCATGAATGTTCTGTTAACCGGTACAAAAAATTTTTCATGACGATAATACGAATCTCACTTCGTTTATGTCGAAGTTCGGTACCGCTGCAATACTATCGTCGCACTGTCCAGGGAACACCACTGGCACTCCTGGTTGTGGTTCAGGGAAGTAGAAACAGCCATCAGGGTCTTGGTCACGTTTTACGAAATATCTCTGGTCCAAAACTTTTATATCGTTCATGGCGTTGCTAATAGCAGTCTCATCTGTAGCTTCTAAAACCTTTTCTCTGCTCAGTTTCCAAGAAGAAACTGAAAATGAAGAGAAAAATTATTTATAATAACTACTCGATTTGTGTCGAATAATCATTTAGTAAAAGTTCAGGATAGAAGTAGTTTACCTCTCATGTAGTAATCATCAATATTGGTACAAGAGTAAACCAGCGCATACGATTCGTAGTTGGTGGAAAGCACCCAGTAATCTGTAGTAACTGTAACACACAAACACAGACAGAAGAGGTGACATTAATTTTAGTGGACTTTCATTTAAAAGCATTGAGTTGTACTACTTTACTTTGGTATTTTGTACAGAATCGAATGTACTGTATCAATCGAAATAAATAATTTGGTTTATTTCATATTGATTATGATGTAATATTTACCATCTGTGCCTGCGACGTTGAAGGTAACTTTAAGTTTGGCACTTCCATCATTACTTGGTTCTAGCACAGCATTACCACTTATAGAGACAAGACTTTGATCTATCACTTGAGTATTATAAACATGGATTCCGTTATTCCCGGGTGAGTATTCTGCAGTGTTACATGTACCATCTTGGAAGTCTCCTGGGTACGACTGGATATCATACCAGACGCCCAAGTACTGTACAAACAAGACAAAAAAGTAAAACATTAATAGTGACATAGATTTAAATAGTGTTACTTGAAAGTTCGATTACATTTTGTTTATGAACATACCTTTTCAAGTTCGAAATTTTTGACTACTGGGATATTTTGATCGCATTGACCTCGAAACTTGACATAAGAGTTAAGGTTTGGAATAGGATAGTAGAAACAGCTTGTATCGTCGCGGTCAATGGTGTAATAGTAAGCGTTGTTTAAAACCTGAACACTATCAATTACTGCATTGATTTTAGTGACTGCTTCTGGGCTCAATGTGTTATAACGGCTCAATTTCCAACTGTAAACTAAATAATATCGAATTAGGGAATTATTTGGTCACTAGTATTATTTATGACTCATTGCGAATACCGACGGTCAATGTAAAATTAAAATGTGTTAAATAAAAATAGTACGATAGATGATGATGATGATGATGATGATGATTGTAGGTAATTAGTATTATAGTTATAAATATTTACTTCTCCTCTCATTATTCGCTAAGTTGACACAGCCGTAACCAAGAGCATACGACTCATAATTTACGTCGAGTACGTAGAAGTCGAAGTATTCTTCTCCTGAAAGGAATATGAGTAGTTAAAATATTTCAGTTCAATGATTTTCAGCGGTTGAACATTAATGTTACACCAATAGATAAAGTATAAAAAGTTGCATTTTATCAAAGAATGAAATAAAATTAATTGAAGAACTAATTAAATTAGAAATAACTAAATTCTATTAACTTCATTATAAAAGATGGTGACGTTTTATTTGTGACCAAACAGTTATAATATACATACCCATAATATTTATATACGTATTGCTTACAATAATTGCTATCATCACCATTACAGTACAATAGGTATAGGTAAATCATCTAAGCAAGATACGGCACACGCGATAAAATAATGTTACAAACTTTGAAATTTAATTTTGAAGAAACTTTCAATAACATTTAAGCAGGTGTTAACAAAATTATAGGTACTTATTCATAGAAAATAATAAATATCTTTATGAATATTTTTATAAATATATCTTTATGAATATTTTTGGGTGCAAATGTACATATTTCTTTTTACAATTTATTTGATTGTATAAAATAAACTTCAAAATGTACAAAATCGATTAGCGTCCAACTTACTGTTTGGGAATGATATTCGCAAATGGCCTGTTCCATCTGTGCTAGCAACAGAAGCACTCCCTGTAATACTTTCCAAATTCTCATTTATAACTTGTGAGTTAATTACGCTGATACTGTTATCAGCTTGCAATACGTATTCTGCTTCATTACAAGTGCCACGTTGAAATTCTGAACCATAGCTCTCAATTAGACGCCACCGACCAGCAAACTGTTGAAAAGATTAAAAATATGTATAATTAGAGCTAAGATTACACTTTCTGTTCACATAATATATACATAAATGTTTTACTTATTTATGTTAGAAATGTTTACTATGTAATATCTGATTGTTTCTGTTAGTCCAACGAATAATCTGCCGTGTTTTCCATAGGAACTGTGCCAAAATGTGTTTTGTTTAACACTAACACGTTCAGTAAGGTCTTACCTCGTTAATCTTGAAATCGAGAATTCCTTTTATTGTAGTGTCGCACTGTCCAGGTAGTATTATTGGTTCACCAGCTTCAATTTCTGGTAGATAGAAGCATGCTGCATCAGAATGGTCAATATCCTCGAAGTACTCATTGCCCAATACAAGATTATTGTTTATTATAGTGTTGATCGCTGTATCAGCGTCTGCAGTTAATTGTCTCGTTCTGCTGAGCTTCCAACTTTTAACTATAAATATTAAATATGGAAGGTTTGTTATTAATCTTTCTTTTAGGGTGCGTCCACATCTGGTAAATGCTCTGCGAATGCGCAGCATGCAAGCCGCTCGCAGGTTGAGCATCAAACCATTGACGTGACTGCACGCGCGTAGCTCGTAGGCAGCCCGCAAATGGCTCGTAAGTGGGACATTTGAGGTGCATTTTCCAGATGTTGAAAATTTAAATGTACCCTTAGGGTTCTATTACTTTTAAATTTATTTATATTAAGCACTATTAATATAATTACCGGATCTGAAGTCTGAATTGATGTTGACACAAGAATATGCCAGTGCATAATCATTATATTGTACACCCAGAATCCAGAAAGGAATATTTGTAACTGAAATCAGATGAAATGTTATGTAATTGGTAAGTTTGTAGTCTACAATAAATAATGGATGAATGAATGTCTACATCTGTGATAGTAAATTCTTACCTTCTCCATTGGCATTAGTAACTTCAATAGATAATTTTCCATCGTTGGTATTACTTTGAGTTACAACTCCACTAGTTACATGTAGAAATTGATTCGAAATGGAAGAAAATTCCAAATTTAGGCGAGAGTTATCGAGAACGGTAACCTTGTGGTTTCTGCAGTGTCCACTCTGCTGAGCGTTAGGATATGATTCGATCTCGTACCAATCACCATCGAACTAAAACATTATATTGAAATTGATTAAAATATATGACGACTGCTGACGAAGTAAGGCTGTACGGCAAGGGTTTTTAGATTTCATTAACGGGTCGGGTTGTTATTGATTTATTTGGTTGTTCGAACATTTCTTTAGCACGGTGTTTAGAAATGTGACAGATATTACACGGAACTCATAACATAACAGGTTAAAAGTGGGTGTAGATTGTATAGGTAACAATTTTATACCGCTATGTGCCATTATGTGTATACCTCTATACTAGTACACCTCTGCCTACTACTAGGGGGACACAAAAAAAAATATTGAGAGAATGTAAAATGAATATATCTTACTTAATTTACGTTTTTTTTTTAATTTTTTTTTTTTGAAAATAGAGGTTACTTTATTAAATATATTAATTTGCTTTATATAACTACATAAATATTTACAACTTAAAATAAACTACAACTAAACTCTTAAATAAAAAGAAAGTAAAAGAAAACAACAAAAATTATACCCTTAATTTAGGCGTCAAAGTATTCGTCCGCATCACTATCACAGGGGAAAGGGGATTAGTTTCATATAGTTTCGTGACTTATCAATAGAAAATCGTTAATCACTATTTATAGTCGGTTTTACAACACCACTTACGATTTTTTTGCATAAAACTGACTTACCTGTTGTAGGTCAAAGGAAGGGACTACATTAACAGTTTCATCACATTGTCCGGGAAAAATGACTGGAACGCCAGGTTCAGGGTCAGGGAAGTAGAAACAATCATCTTCTGTCTGTTTGTCAAATTTATAATACTTCTCGTCTAGTACTATTACTGAATTAATTTTTTCATTAATACGTTGTTCATGTTCTACTGGTGGTAATTTTGTTCTGCTTAGTATCCAACTGTTCACTGTAATCATTTATAAGCGGTTAAATCTAATACTAGATGTTATCTACAACTTCAACCGCGTAGTCAAAGATAAACGGACTCTGCAACACTCAGACCACCTAACCATCTCCACACCATCGCTACAGTGTGAAAAAAACACAAACCCATAAACACACTTTTATATTTATAATTAGGCGTGTAAGTGTGAGAGAGCCATGCTTCGACACGAATGGCCTGGCTCGACCGGAGTGATACTACGGCTTCACAGAAAACCGGCGTGAAACAACAAACAACGCTTGCTTTGCGTTCCGTCTTATAAGTGAGGTTGCTGGAGGCCCAATTACCTCCCCCCCCCATCCCTTAATCTCCAACAATCTTCAAATTCCTAATCCCCAAAAGGTCGGTAACGTACTTGTAACGCCTCTGGTGTTTCGGGCAGCGCCGATTGCGGGCTTATCCCACAAAAAGGTAAGGTCATAAAAACGTTTCTTCTTAGTGCCTACGCTTTCTAATATATTAACTCAAAAGGTGTTTAGCTTTTCCATGTTTGGCAATAGAATTACTCCTGCAGTCCGTAACGCAGTGTCAGAGTTTATTGAACTATTACCTCTCAGTCCATAACTTGTAAAATACTTCAGAGAATTGCATTAAGAATCATTCCGAGCGTAAGTTATTATTATTAGTAATACATTTATTCATCGTCAATTGTTCATTGCTATTCGGATTTGTAAGGACAACAACGGTTACCTGTGTGATCTACTGATGTATATTTATCAAACTCTCATGGCACTGATCTCTTTGATACAGGTATAATAAGGTCATCCCTATGTCATCATTGATAGGGTATGAAAATTAAAAATCTAATTAGTCCATCAGTTAAGTAATGAAAAAATATTAGACACGTAGTTTTTTATTTTGTCGAATAATAAAATGATACTTTGATAAAACGAATCAAAGTTTAGGGGGCTAAAACGTCATTTCTACGTATAAAATGTACATAGAAGTGACATCACGCGACATTTCAAATCAATAAATCGTCAAAAGTATTAGTTTCTGTAAAAAAATAAATAATACGTGTCTAATATTTTAAAATAATATATCAGACGGACATTATAATAAAAATTATACATCTACCCTATTATTCTAAATAGAGGTCAGAGGTTTAATTTACGATGACTTTATGATTTGTAACAAAATAATGTATACTTATGTCCTTTTTGCGTTGCTAAGATTATTTATGTATTTTATTATAAAGGTAAGTTACCTTGCATTTCGTCATCATTAATATTTTGACAGCTGTACACTAAAGCAAAGTTTTTGTAATCTGTGTCAAGGACCCAATAATCAGTAGATGTAGTTTCTGAAAACAAAAGGTAATCATTAATAACTACAGTTTTCATAAAAACAACTGCCTTAATTTAGGATTAGACAAGATTGTTTTTTAATGTTCAACGATATTTATGATTCGTTTATATAATATCAAAATGTTGTGGATTTCACGTGCATTATAAGATTCTAGATGAAAATTAAAGTACATCATTGGGTTAATGAAATTTTAGACTCATAAGGAGCAAGCTTTCCTTGTTTTTTGAAACTTACGATCGGATCCTGCAACAGGAAAGGAGACTACAAGTTTGGCAGATCCATCATTAGATGAAGGAACTGCGACTCCACTCATAGTTTCAAGCCTTAAGTTGTTTACTTGTGAATTCAACACATTAATGCCATCAGGTGTTAATGAGTAATAAGCATTGACGCATGTGCCATCTTGGAATCTTGTCGGGTACGACCGGATACTGTGCCATTTGCCCATGTACTAGAAAAAATATCATTAATTGAAACAGTTTTTTTAAATAAATTATTATGTTTTCGGCTTACTCACGTAATAATTTGACGAGGAACTCGACTAGTTAAATAGACTAGTACTCACTAGCAGCGCGACAGTCGCCGCGTCGCGGGTCGCGAAATGCTGCTCATGAATATGAGCATCTAGCATGGCTTGAAACTAGTCGAGTTCCTCGTCAAATTACTGCGTGGGTGAGCCGAAAACATAATAATTCATTTAGTATGTCTCACGAAAGTTACAATACAGTTTTTTTTTAATTTCACTCGCGTCTTATATTTTTAATTGCGGTATCTAATAAATGGGTTGTTTCTTCAATCAATAATACATTGTCAATTATATCAGTTGGCTAAACTGACTAATTTACTAGTTAAAAAGGACCTTATTTTATGAAATATAATAAAAAAAAACAAAGATAAGAAAAAAACTGAAAATGCATGCACGACCATATTCAGTTTTTTCTCGAATTTCAGAATATATGCATATTCAAACTGAAAAGTACAAGCTTTGATTTAGTGTACGTATTAATGCAAATTAACTGTTGCAATGCACCGATATGAGACACAATATCATTATCCCTCATGTGGATTCGCGTTCAGACACATAAAGGTTAAACGCTTGCTAAAAATTACACGGGACTCATAATCTACTACAAAATTTACTAGCAAGATGTCTCTTCACACACATACAATTACACATAAATATTGCAAGTTACTTAAATAAAATCTTATAAAATTATATTATGCCCAAAAATTATTTTTTTTCTGAAAACGAAGCCTTTAAACTTACTTCAATAGCACTAAAATCGCTCATAGCTTGGACGTTGACTGATTCACATTGGCCTCTGAATACTACGGGCTGATCGCTCGCTTCTGGGTAGAAGAAACAACCATCAAAAGACTGGTCTGTTGGTTTGTAATACTGGTAGTTTAGTTCTATATAAGAATTTACTACTTCATCGACAGCTGTTTGGTGCTGCGGTGACAATTGACGAGATCTGCCAAGAATCCAACTGAAAACTGGAAAAAGAATAATAAGTATTAGTAAAACTGTTTGGTGTTAAGTTTAGGTATATTTTTACTATTGTAATTATTATACAACTTACTTCTCTTTTCATACGAATTAATATTTGTACAGCTGTATGAAACTGCATAGTTTTCATAATCACTCGCTAGGATCCATAAGTCTTGGGTTGTTGAAGCTGTTAAATAATACAAACATTAATTTTTAGTCACGCATCTCACTTTAACAAGAAATCCAAATAACTAAATTTGGTAATACATTGAGATTTTTTAAGTATATTATAGTCTGTTAATTTGGATAAACATAACATAACATAACATCACGCCTTTTATCCCCGAAGGGGTAGGCACAGGTGCATAATAACCTGTTGGCAGCGCCAAGAGAGACGTACTCTATTATGCCACTATAATGTAACACCCACTTTTCACTATTTATGTTATGAGTCCCATGTAATAGGGGGTTAGTCTATTGCCATATACCGGGCCCGGGCACATTTTGAGACTCCGTGCAACTACTAAGGTTTTTTCCAAACCCAGAAAACTTTACCCGACCCGGGAATCGAATCCGAGATCCCTTGCCCGGTAGTCGGCAGCCCGGCACTTGCGACTACATAGCCAATGAGGCAGTCAGATGGCGATATCTGGGCCATAAAAATAGGCAATTATAGACTAATCTCGCTTACAAGAAAGTTGGAAGTTTATGATAATGACTAACTTAATAGTTGGAAAGACTAACAATATATCCAAGTACTTACGAGCTCCAGGAGTGTTTAACACCACTCGTAGCTTTGCGCTGTTATCAGTGCTGATGATTGTTGCTGACCCATCAATCGTCACTAGCCTCTGGTTAATAACTTGACTGTTGAGGATGTCCACCCCGTCACTGCTTAACGTGTATTCAGCCCTGACACAAGTGCCATCTGAATTTGAGCTTTCGTAGCTTGATATTTGATGCCACAACCCTGAGAACTAAAACGAATTTTAATAATTTTATTTTCGGTTCGAAATTCTAACCAGATTACACATTTTTACGTATTATAAAAAAGTGTCCTTTTTTCTCTGATAGGCAATACGAATATTAAATTTTTATCTTTTTATAGGTGGCGCTGATCATATGGTTATTCATCAACTCGTTTACCTAAAAGAATTTACTTATCCACCCGTTGTTTCCTTTTTTACCTACCTATTTCTAAAGCTTGTTTAATATTTTTTTTTTATAAATGAACTTATACTCACTGCATCAGCGTTAAAGTTTGAAAGTACATGTAGACTCTCGTCACATTGTCCAGGTAAAATAATAGGATTGCCCGGTTCAATAGTCGGTAAAACGTAGCAAGCAGCAGGACTATGATCAATATGGGTCAGATCCGAATAATTAATGCCGAAATTATTTACAAGTAAGCTATTTATTACGCCGATAAACATAGCATTGACAGTTGTACCTCGTCCCAGCACCCATATATGAACTGTGAACAATGTTCTTAAATTAATATACCAATAGACGAAAATGTAATAAAAAACAAGTTTCACACCAGAATTTGTATTAAATAATAAAGTTATTATTGATGATACAAGTGAACTGAATGAATTTAGAACATAATTTTCTTTGGAAAAGTTATTTGTTAGTACAATCACATGTCTTTTACTAATAAGGTATCATTAATATATGTAGGTACATCATTTTCATAGACTTTAAAATATAGGAACTTTATCATGTGTTTTCAATTCTGTTTAACTCTAACTTAAAACTGTGATTCAAACGTTATAAAAATAAATACACAACATAACATCACGCCTTTTATCCCCGAAGGGGTAGGCATCACGGCACTTAATGCCACTGTACAGTGTAACACTAAATTTTCACTATTTATGTTATGAGTCCCATGTTTTAGGGGGTGAGCCTATTGCCATGTATCAGGCACATTTTTTTTAAACCCAGTAATACTTTGGCCGACCCAGGTATCGAACCCGAGAGCTTTTGCCCGGTAGTCGCTCTTGCGACCACTCGGCCAACAAGGCAGCAAATAAATACTAAGTTTTAAATACGTGTACTCACTCTTTCTTTGCGTTAGCGAGATGTTTTCACAAGAATATGCGACCGCATACGTGTCATACATTGTAGCCAGGATCCAAAAGTCAACAGCTGGAAAAACATTAAAATTATAATTTCACAAACTTAAGTCTCAATTAAAAAAAGTCTCGGTAGTTAATTATGTGCAATTAAAGAAAAAAAACCCTGTACAGAGAGTAATGGAAGAGTGATTAATGGAACTAATTCCTTGCTTTTATTTTGAAACCGATGAGAGAACTATTCAATTTAGAATTTTTAGTAGGTAGGTAGGTTTCATAATTTTCGACATGTAAGTACTAATTATAAGATCAGAATTATGAGGGTCGTAAAGGTTATAAACAAAATTAAAGGAAAAAAAAATATTTTTGTAAACCGTCTGGTTATAGTTTGGAAAAAAACAGTTTAGTGTGCTTTTTATTTTCACTTAGTAGTAGGCATTTTTATATAATCCGGGTGCCGGACAAGTTGGTCCCGGTTAATTATTATATTTTCGGCTTATTCACGTTTACAACTGTTTTGCTTAGTGCCAGTAGGTAGTAGTTGTCAGTAGGAGCGCGACAGTCGTCGTCGTCGTCGCGGGTCGCGGAATACTGCTTATGAATATGAGCCTCTAGCATGGCTTGAAACTAGTCGAGATCTCCGTCAAACAGTTACTTGCGTTATCCGAAAACATTATAATTAATTTACTATGTCTCACGAAAGTTTTAATATAAACTGGTCCCAGTTATCTGGTTGCAAACTTTATAGCCATGTACATTAGCTATCATACCTACTGGCATGTTTCAATGTAGGTAAATTTACCGTCAGTTATAATCGACACTGGCTGTCTGGCAACTGTAGCATGTGCAAGAGCATATGCGCTTTAAGATGTTAAAATTACTTACGTTCTTCGAATGATGACAGTGTCATTTTAAGTTTAGCAGTGTTGCCTTCTTGGGTGATTGTTCCGGTAGCTTCTTCCAAGAAGTTTCTTCTGACTGAAGTGTATTGCACATCGATGGCATGATTACTATCAATTGTGAAATCATATGCTGCACAGTCTCCATCTTGGTTCGGGTTAGATGTTCGAGCTATTTCATACCATTCTCCTAAAAACTGTTACAGAAAGAAATTAAAAAATATTCAAGTATATAAAATCATCAGTATAGTGAACATTTAACGTTTTTGTTTAGGTTATGATTGTCTATATTTGCCTCGTTGAACGAACGTCTATCATAAGGTTACTACAGTTTTTGACAAAACGCTCGTACCTATCTTACTGTACTGGCCGCCTAACCGCTTATATTTAAAGCCGCACATAGAAACCTAGTTAGTTAATAAGTATCTAATAAAATAAGCATTACTTACTATTTTAACTCTTAACAAGCAATAAGTATATAAAATCGTATTTTGTATGTTTAACGGTTTAAATAAACTTAATTCTATAAATCTTTTGTTTGATATTTATAAAATAGAGGTTGTGGTATAAAATATACTATAATAATTATATGGTCATCAAGTTCTTAATGTGTACTAAAAATCAGATCAATCGATCGTCAGGAAGGTGATAAAGTTCTTATTAACTACTAATTTTGACCCAAACAAACAAACGGTTAAGCTGTATTTAATGCCGTTTAAAATAATAATAAATACTTTGACAAAAAAATAAACCTTGACTTATCAATTCAGTTTGTAATGAAGTCTTCCTGATTCTGGCTGTTAAAGGTGAACTTTATAGTGTACTGTTTTACAAAGTAATTTTTAATGGGTAATTCAAAAATGGTTCATACAAAGAGGAAACAAAAAGAATTGACTGCACGGTTGGCGCGGTGGTTGGGCAACTGACTGCTGCGCAACGTGTCGCGGGTTAGATCCCCGCACGAAAAAAAATCTTTGTGTGATCCACAGATTGTTGTTCCGGGTCTGGGTGTCATGTGTATGTAAACTTGTATGTTTGTAATCGCACCCACGACACAGGAGAAATTCCTAGTGTGGGGCAACTGTTTGAAAAAAAATGATTTTTAAACAGAAATAAATAAATAAAGTAGGCATTGATATGCGAAAAAGAAGTAGCAACGATTATATATTAAGATAGCAATTCGATCTGAGGATAAGCAAATGACGTGAGAATGTATATCGCTGAAGTAATCTAAATTACTTTGACATGCAAAGATATTTGGAATTGTAAATACATTTTTATCGTAGCCGCCAATTACTAATTTATTTTTATAATTGGTAATAATATTGATAGAAATGCAATTATACTAGAAAAGATTTATGTTTTTTTTACTAAGAGCCACTGACAAACGGTAAAGGAAATCATCGTAAGGAAACTTGGGCTCATAATTTCTAATTATAAGTTTATCGCTAACCCGCCTTGGCGCAAGCGTTGTTTTTTTATATTTGATGTGCCGACGTTTGACCACTATCTCGCCTGGTGGTAAGCGATATGTGGTCTACAATGGAGCACGTCGTCCCATAAGCAACCTTTTCACTCGGGCCTTGAAGACTCCCAGGTTGTACTCTTCAGGAAATACAAACTCAGGCAAAGAATTTAACTCTTTAGCAGTATGCACAAGGAACATTGATTAATGCTCATACCTTTTCCGTGCAAGAAAGGCCTTTAGTCAGCATTGCTACTTATTATTTTTGACTGCAACGTGCTGCGCTACGTGTAGCGGGTTCGATTCCCGCACGGAGCAACTCTTTGTGTAATCCACAAATTGTTGTTTCTGGTCTAGGAGTCATGCATATGTTGAATTGTATGTTTGTAAACGCACCCACCAAGTTAAAAATAATAAGAAACGTTTTACATAAAATAATTGTAAATAGGTAATTCTAATAATAAACTTATTTCTTCAATATAATATCACTTTTGCTCGTCAACAATGTATAACAAATATAAAATGAAATCAACATTTCCTAAGTAACTACGCTGAAGAGAAATGCTAAAATGAACTATTCAATACGAGCGGCCCGAGTCGGCTTTGCTCGGTTCAATCCGGTTTTTCTGGAGAGCTTGTATTATTTTATTTTACACAGAATCGTCCCTATACCAACGATCATAAAAAGATGAATTATACGTTTTGGACGAATAGTTCCGGTGTTACGAAGCTTATTTTGGTAGGTAATATTTTTTATATGGTTTCACTTATTTAATTTTCTCACTTATTATGAACTTTTCACCTAATGTATTTTTTGCCAGATGTGGTAATAGATATCAAACAAGAGTTAATAATAACGCTATATACGCGTTTCACTTAAACTTTTATTCATAAAAAATATTAATAATCCTCAATTTTGATCTATTTATAATATTTGTTGTTGGAATGCCCTACAACGCTTGGTAGATCTTTCTATTGCCAATTGCCACTAATAAATGTATTTATTATTTTATTTTAGTAAAAAAAACGCAAAATTATTGATATATCAAATATTTGTTGTTGGAATGCCCTACAACGCTTGGTAGATCTTTCTATTGCCACTAATAAATGTATTTAATATTTTATTTTATTAAAAAACACAAAATTATTTGTACCATTAAAATATCAAAATTTTCATACACCCCCAAACTGGCATCACACTGTCCTTCTTGCACTACTTGTCCAACACATACACTAATTAGTCCAAAGAGACTAACAACTATTATAATTAACTTAGACATCATGAGGTCATGTTTTCTCCCGCACAACACAGTAACCTAACTAATCAAATAAAGCATTATCAGTTAATTTTTATATGTAAAATCTTATCTGCGTAATATTTATCATTTTTATAATCACGATAATTTAATAAATTGTCCAATAGTTTTTAAAAGTATTCGATGATCTGATTGTGGCAAATTATGTTTTAAATAATTATGTATGTACAATTAAGACGTTATCGCTGTTTTTCTTTGGACGTCAAGTCATATTAACCCGTTTTTTTGACAAGATACCTTCAATAAGGACTTGATTTTTATGGGGATGAGAGACTTATTAAAGGCAAATCATATTTACCTACTGACTGCAAAACATACAAGCATAGAATCAGAATCAGAATCAGAATCAGAATCATCATTTATTTGTTAAACATAGGTAGTTTACATAATAAGGTCTTAAATATAAAGATAGTCCACTATGTTTTGCCGTGATTGACATACAAATATATTAGGTACATGCATTTAAAACATTATTACAATTTCAGTTAAATTTTGTATAATAATAATAAAATAATAAAAATAAGGTATGTCAAAATTATGTCAATTAAAATTATCAAATTTATCAAGAAATACATTAAAATTGTCAAGAAAAAATTGAAATTGTCAAGAAATAAATTAAATTTGTCAAAAAATATTATCATTAAGGAATTCTTCAATTGAGTAATAGCATTTGTTTAATAATAGTTTATTGAGAATACTTTTAAATCTAATTACTGTTGTATTTTTTATTTCATTGGGAATCTTATTATAAATTCTAGGGGCATTACCAAACAAACTTTTGTACATAAGTGCTGTTTTACATTTTACTTGGCTTAATTTATTAACATATTGGGTGCGTAAGGGAACATTTCTGCCTGAGCTCAATTTTGGAAATAAGTGAGGATTTTGTTTTACAAATACAGCTGTTTCCAGTATATACATGGAGGGCAATGTTAACATTTTTAGTGATTTGAAGTGTGCAATACAGCTGTCTGTGGTCTTCAGACCACACATTGACCTTAAACATCTTTTTTGCATTCTAAACACAAGCTCTCTATCTGTAGACTGCCCCCAAAATATAATGCCATAGCGTAATACCGAGGCAACGAATCCATGGTATGCTGCAAGAAGAGCCTGAAGGTTTACTTTTTTTGAAAGTTGGAAAAGCGCGTATGCGGATTTACTTAACCTTTTACATAACTCCTCAACATGAGGCTTCCAACTGAGGACGTCGTCAATGACTATACCCAAGAACTTGGCTTTATTTGCTTGCTCAATACAACGGTTTTCATACGCGATTTTAATATTTTCTTGATGACGACGCTGATGAAAGTGCATAACCTTTGTTTTGTTTAAGTTAATTACTAAATTATTTTTGTTAAGCCAATTGATGATATCATATAAGCATTTATTGATCTCATTTTCATAGTCGAGTTCATTTTTACATTAACATTACTTATAATGTCTGAAGTGTTAGGCCACTGGTGGTCACTGCCGACCAGAGGTCTCTTCTTACACGGAGAAGGTTTGAGCGTAATCAACATCTTTGCTCAATAAGAGGTTGACGATTTTAAACTTATAATTATAAATTATGAGCCAAGGTTTACTTACGATGTTGTCCTTCACCGTTTGTCAATCGTGTCTAAATAGTCTTAGAAGTACATATAACTCGGAAAAAACACATTGGTACTTGTATTGTTGGTAGGTGTCGAACCCGCATTCTGATGCATCAGAAGCAGGTGACTTAAACCTCCAGGACACTACATATTATGTACGACCTAATTTTCTGTAAATAAGCAAAGCTTATAAGCTACAGAAAATTGGTAAAATAGGAAAATTGTAAAATAGGACATGTAGGACAGGTAGGTATATATACCATGTCCTATTTTTGATTCACATAATACCTATCTATAAGTATATTCGCTCGTGCCCGATTAATGAAGTACCTATTATAAAAGTAGATATTTTTGTTAGGTACGTATTTTATCACATTTACATAAATATATTTTCGTGTTATATATTTTTGTGCGGTAGTGGTATTTAGTGTATTTAGTAGACATATTTTCATTGTTTGATAAAGACAGACATTATTTTTGCATTACAGTACCGATGTATTAAATAATATGATAACAAAAATTTTATTTCAGATTAGATGTATACTCTCTGTTCGTGTCTATAGTAATTTTATATTAGAAACGCGTTATGGATGTTGACCGAGTCCTCAAACATCTTTCCTTTCTACAAGACTTACAACGTATCTAAAGGTACTAGCAACATCAAGTCAGTAGTGATCCGTCTGTTCATTTGTTCTCTACTTAAAAAAAAAAACATTAAAATATATTGTCTTATTTCAATTAGTATCTACGTATATAATTATCTCGTTAGATGCCTACGTTGCAATAGTTTTTAAAAAGTGTAATTAACTATCTATCTTTTTGACATTGTATAATACTCAAATCATTTATGTGAAACAGTAGATTAAGTTAAGTTATTAAAATTATTTAAGTTAAGTTTATTTTTATTTGTCTCTGATTTATGTTGGGTATGTTAAGGGTCAATTCATCCCAGCACAGAGATTTAGTTGTAGCCCATCGAAGAGTAAACCCAATTATTAACATAAGAAATTTGACCTTATGTTCACAGCGTTATGTAGTGTATACTTTCATCTCTAATAAATAAATTGAATGCATTATTGGGTCACACGCACACATCTAACGGGTAACCGGGGCTCCGGCTCGACGTGCAAGAGAAGGAACGGGGTGGTTTTTAGTCAGTAAGAGTCTGACATTCCCTTCCGCCTCACCCAGGCGGGAGCAGTCATTCGATGATTTTCCCCCTTAAAAAAAACACAGGCCCTTTTGAAATGGCAAAATAGAATTGTAGCAATTGTGCAGCGGGGTAGGTAGTTCCAAAAATGTAGATTATCAAGAAATTCATAGTTACTTATAAAAAAAATATCTTTTTATAAAGAAAAATACTTTTTTAACTATATTTGTTACTAACGAAGACTTAAAATATACATACCTACCTATATATATGTATATATTGTAAGAACATAATATATAAAACCACTGCTCACATCAGCGTCAGCGATGTTATGAATACTAAAATACCTACCTTAACAAAAAATTTGTTATCACGTGTTTTATTAGAATGTTACAGTGCAAATGCTAATTAAATGAATGCTAAGTCTTTCCATTGTATCATATACAATGTTATATTGTTCATAAACACGCTTATAAAACTTGAAAGCAGAGTAATTAGTGATCATATTGACTGGAAATTAAAATATATTTAGTGTTTACGAAGTATTGATAGTTATAAAATAATAAAATTAATGTTATTTTCTATGCAGTTAGTTCATCCATGTTTACCCTCTAATGAAATCAAGAGCACGATAATATTTGTATTCATTTTGTATTAGGTATCCATTGTGAAAGTATAATGTATGTATGTATCTATCGCATAATTTATTAAAGAATTTAATTTTAATTAGATAACGCTATCTGTTCATCTTTTAAAGAGTATCGATATTGTAGTACCAGAGTATCATACGTTGTTGTGCAAGAGCGAGTTGTGGAATATCCTTATATGTCCTACAGATTAGCATACCTACATTTAAAATATAAAAACATGACCAGTATTGTATAACGGCTATTTCGTAAAAAAAATATGTACAAAACTTAATGCAATCCATATATTTACTGGTAAGATCTATAAAAACCGATGTTTAAGGTTTTACAGTGACACATTTGTTTTGTTATAGAGTAGGTTTGGAGGCGAGGTCTGAATGGCAATGAACTTGAGATTATGTTTAGTAACATAACAATGATCTTACCGACCTGTTACTAACTGAACGTTCTCATTGTTGCGGTGGGTTTTTCATAGTTCCATGTTAATTTATAGAGCAAACATTAGAGGTACATGTACTAGCCCATGTACCTTCTTTGTGTGTTTTGGCAGTTGTGTATGTGATTCGCCAACCATACTTGTAAAAAACCATACCATGATATTCACGATAAATCTTATCTTTCTTGATGTTTCAAAAGTGTAAATTATAGTTCTGTATGTTTCTGTATTTTGCATAGTCAGAAAATTGAACGAAGAGGTTTAGCTTTACAATATATATATATATATATACTAATGACACAAATTATAATTTATCTACTAACGGGAATTGTCTGATTTAAAACAAATATCAAACATGTCGATTTTTTTATGGCTTATGCCTGTAAACGAGCAGACGGATCATTTGATGGTAAGCAATCGGCGTCGCCCATGGACACCTGGAACACCAGTATCGGCCTTTTGGGAATTAGGAGTTTGAGGATCGTTGGGGATTCAGGAATTGGGGAGATTGGGAAAGGGGAGGGAATTGGGCCTCCGGTAACCTCACTCACACGACGAAACACAACGCAAGCGTTGCTTCACGTCGGTTTTCTGAGAGGCCGTGGTATCACTCCGGTCGAGCCGGCCCATTCGTGTCGAAGCATGGCTCTCCCACACATAATTTTTTTTTTCAAACTTATTATTTATTTATTACTTAGGTATTCATAACACCTAAAGTTTCACACTGTTATATTAACACTAAATCTAAAAGATTAGAAATATTAAAAAGAATTATTGTTATATTTTCGAGTTATTTTGTTGCATAACAGAATTGGCTTCTAAAATTGTCTCGAACCATCGCGGGGTGCCGTTGACATGGCCGGCAATTGGACCCGAGACACCCAATTGTCGAATCACTGTCTTCCTTTAAAATTTCCACGATCCGAGCATGGTACACAACGTGATGTGGATCAGTCACTCTTAAGAGAATTATGCAATTTATTTGTTGTGATGGAAAAATTCTTAGAGGTTATACCAGGTTAACGATTGTATATTAGATAATTAGCAAATTTGTTTTATGGCTAGTAGGGGTAGCCTACTCTAGCTATAGTATTTTTTTTTTAAGGGGGGAAAATCATCGAATGACTGCTCCCGCCTGG